GGTGTTTGAACACAGTTGTGTGGCCGCAGTGTGTGAAAACAACCAGCCTATAATGGTACAAATCCATCCACTCATTTTTTTTATAATACCAAAAAATCATTGCCAGTCTCTCCAAACGAGCGGTTTCAGATTCTCCCCTTGTACTCGTCACTATAGGGAGACACTATATATGTTTAGGAAACAATACCAATGCTTTGTGCGCGAACGTCAGCTCCAGACAAAGTAAGTATCATGCGTTTGTTTTCCAAATTGCCTTTCTGAAAGAGCTTCTTGGCACTTTGTAAGGCTAATGTTGCTAAAGCTATGCCTGTTTTCACTGATGCTGCTTCAAGAATGATCATAAATAGGAATGTGCTAGTTAAAAATTGCATATGAAAGCAATGTGAAGTCAACCGCTTGAATTTGTCGAGCTCTTAATCACAAGCGGGACTTATAAAGTTTGTGATAGCAGCTAAGGCACAATGAGACCAGCTGTCGTTATTTTTATCGCGCCGTGCTCCCCGTCTGTGTAATTCATAAACGATCATTTATTACGCACAGTACGATCAGATGACTGACTTTTAAAGCAAGTACGTTTTCTGTAAAGATAACAGGCTTGTACTAATAGTGGAATGTTTGTTTGTATTTGCATTTAAAGGGATACACACAAAAACGGCGCGTTTTGGCTCATATCCTAAAAGTGGCAATTTTAACAAGCTATAAAAAATTATCTGTGGTGTATTTTGAGCTAAAACGTCACATATACACTCTGGGGACATCAGAGACTTATTTTACATCTTGTAAAAAGGGGCATAATAGGCCACCTTTAAAATGCATTTTAGTTCATATTCATGACGTAGCATAGTTGGGTGCAATTAGATGTTCTTAAGATTATCTTAAGAAGTAGTAAAGAATAATTTTTTTTATATTAAGCACAAAATTTGTGCATGAAAACAGAGCACTTTAAGTACATTACGGAAGTGCAGTTTCTTTTCTCCTGAGTACTGCTTTCAATGGTTTCTGAAGCGTCTCAGAGGACTTTATAGAGGCGACAGAGAGGACGTGTTAAGGCTTGGGTGGATGTTTGTGTAAGGCTGGGTGACCCGAGAGGAGACGCACATGCGAGATAAAGAACGGTGTCCTACCGAGGAAGAGGATGGTCTGCTTGCGGGCCGCTTTCAGCCGGGCGCTCTCGTGTTTGGGAGCGCTGTGTGCAGCTCCGCTGGCTCCGGACTCGTTGGGTCCCATCGGGGCCCGCAGAACAGCGATCATGGCTCTGCACATGAAGGCCACAGCGCTCAGAACGAGCAGATAGAGCGCGAACGCGGTGAAGATGCTGGTGCGGTACATGACCCAGTGCTGGCTCAGATTAGTGCAGAAGGTCAGGTTCTGTGCGGGCCCCTGCTGGCCCTCGGGGGCCAAGCCCTCGGTTCCTGTGGCCACGAGCAGCGGCAGAGCCACGAGCACCGAGCAGATCCAGGCCCCCAGCAGCAGCGCCGTGGAGCGCCGGCCCGACAGCGCTTTATAGCGGAACGGGTGGCAGATGGCCAGGTAGCGCTCGAAGCTCAGCGAGGCGATGTTGAGGACTGTGGCGTAGCTGCAGGCCTCGAACAGAAAGCTGTAGATCCTGCAGGCGGCGTCGCCGGACGAGGACGAGAAGGGGAACCAGACGGCGCTGTAGAGCTCCACGGGCATCCCGATCAACAGCACCAGCAGGTCAGAGCAGGCCAGACTCAGCATGTGATCCGTCACGCTCTTCTGCAGGTATCCGCTGCGCTGCAGCCGCTGAGACACGTGGATGGTGACGCTGTTTCCCAGGATGCCGAGGACGAGGATGAGGCTGTACAGCACCGTGAGGAAGATCTTCACCTCGTGACTCGGCTCCAGTGATTTCCAGTCTCTCTGCACTTCCTCGTTCTCCTCCATGACGCCGGTCGCTCTCTTATTGGCTTTAGTGCTGCTTATCTGCGCCGTTAATCATCAGACTCACAGAGCACAGAATCAAGGCGTTCCACTTGAAGCAGAAAGTCTGTGAATGCTTCATGATGAAGATCAGAGCGTCTCAGCTCAGTTAGTCTCTGCTTGAGCGACTCTTCCTTGGCTCGTGTCTGAGGCTCTGCTGCGAGTTAATGATTGGAGTTTGATCGCGGAGGCGGTGCGAGTTACTGCCGTGATCTGAGCTGAGCGTCGCTATGTGAGCGGGAACTATTAGTCACCTGATGCTTTACAGTACGAGGGTGTGTCCTGTGTGTGTGTGTGTGTGTTTACACAAGTTACAGCCACAGTACTTACTTTAGAGTGTTTCAGAGTGATAACTCCCCTACTAATGATCATGCTGTCATCACTTACTCTCCCTCGTGTCGCTCCAAACCTGTGTGAGTCTTCTCTTGAACACTAAAGAAGATATTTTGAAGAATGTTGACATTGTGGAAACATTTCCCAAAATAACCTCGATTTTCTCTATGAAAAATTATATTGTACACCCAAAACGTTTAGGAAAACGTTGCTCCATCCAACAATACCGGTGGCTGTTAATGGCGCTGATGAGCTTCTGCGCAGCGTTTATCCTCACATCACCAGTCGCTCACATCAGCTGCTGGATTTTGGGTGTAAAACTACAGCATGATCTACATATCTGGTTTTTGGTAAACTATATTCATCAGATTGCTCATCGATGCAAACAGCAGTTAAAGGTAATTGGTTTATGTGTGTGATTGGAGGTCTCAGTTCAGCACAAATGCAGATAAACACAGATAACTGGTGACGTGTGAGCACTAACCAGCTGCTTAAAACGCTGATCGTAGCTTTTATATCAGTTATTCCCAGTGTTTCTGACCGGAATCTGCTTGTTTTTGTTGACGCAGAGCTACTGTAATGGGTTCAGGACAGAAGAACATACAGATTTAAACTAACACGTGTGAAAATGTAATTGTAAATATGCTTTATTTACTCTTGATGTTGTTGAAAATAATGTTTTTTCACCTTTGATTTAAAAAAAAAAGTAAAACAACATTAAACACAAATCTAAGCTGGACAATAAAGTGACCCGTCCTGATTAAACTACGACATGTAAAGCTAGTTAATTCAGAAACTGGGTCTTTGTATTTTCAGAGTCTGTGTGCGAGTCTCTGGATCAGATCTCAAACCTTAAACAAGCTCTGATGAACAATGCAGCTCATTCACCCCCGGCAAAAAATATAAGAAAGAAATATTTTGTTTTATGAGAATAAAGCCTAGTTTGGAGCTTATCTCGCCGCTCTGAACAGTATTAATGGATGTCTCCACACACTCACGACGGATGAATGGCTGTAAGAGTGTTTGGGAACCAGATGATCTATTAGAGACACAGGACTGTCCACTGAAACCTCCGGTCAGGCTGGACACGGGCCTAATAAGGAGTTAAACATGTGGTTTAGTGTAAACAGAGGATCTCTGGAACCTTTATCAAAGTGTGTCTGGCTTCTGCTGGTGGAGGAACGGATGGAGACCTCTGATCTGAAGCTGCATCGCAAAGACTGGACTATGTAGTACTGAATTGTGGAGATATAAACAGTTTTTCCCCATGTTTGTGTGGAGTATTTTTTGGGTGGGGCTGAAAGCCCCTAATACTATAATAACTAGAGCGCATTAGCATCAGCGATTCATCGTTCAATCGCGAGCTACTGTCATTACAGTTACTACAGCCTACAGTTTGCTAGCTATACCCGATCCAACCCTCTCCATTGACTCTGTATTGCGGGAAGCTGCCTCCTTGTCATTTCTGATTTATAACAAAAAGCAGAACAATGTCTAAAAGCTGCTGTGTGACGAGGTGTACAGCAAACAAGCTAAAACCCCAGAACTAGGTTTTTATAAGCTGTCGACCCAAAAAACAAGCGTTTAAGCACACAAATAGTTGTAGATGTCGGGGTATTTCACGTTGGGCCGTTCAGTTGGATCATTTCTCAAACAAAAGGAAGGTAAGGAAAAGGGGCACTGACATAGACCTCTCAGATTCACATCGGGTAGTGAAATAATCCTTTGGCATGGTTAAGAATAATGAATAATAATGTTTCCTGTCTCTGATTATGCTTCCCTCCAGTGGGTGTAGTTCTCAGAGTAATATGACACGATGCGCTCTACTTCTGTGTCCTAAACGCTTGTTTTTTGAGTCGACAGCTTATAAAAACCTAGTTCTGGGTTTTTAGCTTGTTTGCTGGACAGCTTGTCACACAGCAGCTTTTAGACATTGTTCTGCTTTTTGTTATAAGTCAGAAATAGCAAGGAGGCAGCTTCCCGCAGATACAGAGTCAATGGAGAGGGTTGGATTGCCCCAAGAACATTATTTGGTGTATTTGGTGTAATGAAATGTGTTTATGCGGTTTAAGGTTCAAAAAACACATTATTTTCCACATACTGCACATTATTGTTTCTCCTCTATGCCCCGCCTTTCTGAAACGCGTTGATTTTTACAAAGCTCATCGGTCTGAAAAGCGAGGTGTGCTCTGATTGGCCAGCTATCCAGTGCATTGTGATTGGCCGAAT